TTTTGGTGGTTTTAAAGTGAAAAACTATTAAACTAAACTAAGGATTCAGTTATTTCTTTTGTTTTTAACTGTCATATCTTTGTGGAAAGTAAAGCATGTAGCACCACTCTGTGTGGCATGTAGAGCAGCAAAGAAAAACAATAAAAAACAGAATCACAGAAGAAACGGTTTCTATTTAAATCAGGGTCTAATTTAGTTCTTTTAGGGGAAAAAAAGTTTTTTTAATGCTTTAAATCTGTGAGTCATCCGAGTGCATCATGAATAATGACTGAGGAGGCCCCTGTGCCATCTGGAAACACCTTCAGCTCATTTTCACTCCGTTAGAAACCTGAACCAGAACAGAAACATCTAATAATCAGCCAGTTTGTCTAAAGTTTAGTTTATAAATATCACATTCTTCCATTTTATAAACTCTTTCTAAATATTAAAAAGTTTCCCCCTGATTCTCAGCATCCACTGTAATCTGGGAATCTGTAAGCAGATTATTTGAAATGTTCAGGCCCTGGATGAGTGTGCTCTGGTTGAACAGGACAGCTTACCTGCTCCCACCATGAACCTTACAGCTTCAGGTCAATCTGATGCCGGCGAGGAAACGATGAGCGAGTCCAAACCGCTCGGACCGGAACCGCAGGACGGCGTTCCGAACCAACGGATGTTTTCTCCCGGTCACTGGAAGCAACAGCCAGCAGCGGCAGGAATCACTGGATGTTTGGACCACTTCAGCTTTCGCCTCATTTTGCTGCTGCTCAGAACAGCAGGGGGGGGGGTTTCCATGGTGACGCAGTCCCTCCCTCTGAGCTTCACTGTGTCATCCGCTTCTTCTTCTTCCACACGTGAGAGGCATGTTCTTTACCCCGTTTAAGGAAACGACCTGAATGATGAATGGATCAGACTTCTCTTCTCCCCGACCGTTCAGAAAACTTCTTTTTAAGAAGTTCTACTTTTTTTTTTTTTATCCTGGGAGCCCCTAAAGTAAAATGTATTTATTTAACCCTTTATAGGGCAACATTTAAAGCCAATAGTGTTATTGGAATCCAGGACAAGATCTTATTACCTTTGGAACATTAAAAAAATGTGGATA